CTTTGCTCTGTGTCACCTTTTCGGCTTGGGGCAGAAGAGGAGCGAGCCCCCAGGCGCTGAATCCCTGTGTCCGCCAGCCCTCAGGGTGGGTGACAACTGGAGCCCTGAGGCTCCAGCGGCCACAGTCCCCCAGGCCAGAGCCCTGCACGTCTCCGTGTCTGCCTCCATGCAAACACACGGGTCTCCTCTGATCCACGATAGTGGTGTTGGAGTGCTGCCTCCCCGTTCAGCCCCTCTCCTGTGCCCGCTGCTGACTTCTCAGCAAGAAAAGACGCAGAGGCTTTTACTTCTGGAGAGAAAGGGACTCCCAGCTGAGAGCCCTCTTCTTGCTGCCTCTCCCAGCCCCAGCAACGGTGGCCCCATCGCCTGCACCTGGGGTAGGACTGTCACCACCCCCCATGGACCCTGCCCAGCAGGGACAGTGACCCTCAGCACTGGCTCTGAGCATCGGCCGCCTGTGCATGATCTGACCACTGAGGCTTCCCACCCCGAGGCCCCTGAGCCCCTGACCTAACCTACCTTGCAGCCGGGCTGTGGCCAAGCTGGAAACAGCCGGCATCCTCCAGCGTCCCCCAGGTCCTCCCTGCACCCCACCGGCTTCTTCCTTCATGCACAAACTCGGATCCAACAGGGACGGCCGTGGTGATGTAATGCCAGAGCAGGTCACCGTGGTGCATCCGCACGGAGGCTCCCAGCGCGGCGCCGAGCTCACAGCATCGCCTCGCTGCCCCCTTCATGGGACAGGGATGGTGCCAACCTGTAAGGGGACCGCGGCGCCTCCTGGGAACCACCTCAGAGGTCCCTGCCCTGGCACTTCCCCGCTGCCCAGGTTTGGTTTCCAGCATCAGACCCGGCTCCTGCTCCTCCCGCCACCCACGTGCTGTTTGCTGAGCCGTACAGGCAGGATTTCCAAGCTCCCACCTTCTCCACTTCGATGCGTCTTTCTCTTCTTTCTGTGGGACTCACCCATCCCCGGTACGGGTGCGATTCGCAGGAGGCAGCAATGGGAAGCAATGATGGAAGGAGCTGAAGAATGACCTCCGTGGCCTGGAGCCACCCCGTGTGCTCGGCCAGGGGTCACCCCTGCAAGGCTCACCCCCTGCCCGAGTCAGTCTGGAGCAGGTCAAATCCTTCTTCACATCGTTTGAAGTCCACGGCCATTGGGTTTGAGTATCCTCAGACCATGGGCCATGGCCAGGCTGTGCCATGGACCACCCTCAGGTGCATCTTCACAGGGCTGAGCAATGCCTCCTGAAGACATCAGGATTTCGGCAGCAAGACAGATGTTTTGCCGGGTGGGGATGGGGGATTTGAACTGAAGCAGCTCCTGGCACGTGGTTGATGGCTTCTTGAGCACCACCAGAAGCCCTGAGCCTCCAGTGCCAAGCACTGGCAGTAGCACTGGCATTATATTCACACCAGCCTCGCAGGCGGGACAGCCCCTGCCATTTGGTAAGAGGTCTGCATTCCCCGACTTGATTTACTGCTTTGTTTAAACGTGATATTTGCGCCAAAGCCGTGGCTGCACGTTACCGTTTGTTCTGAGGTTTGGTTATGACGTGGCCAGGAGGAAAGCTGTGATGCCGTTTGCCCTTGATTGACTTCACTTTGCACCTCCGGGAAGGAGAAGGGAGGCAGAGTATTGATTATTCCTCAGTCACTTTGAAATAAAATATATGATGCTCATCAGCGGGTAAAGCCTTGAGAGAGCACGCACAGGCCAAGGAGACACACAACCTCTCCTCCCGTTGGTGCTGCAAATTGAATATATAATAAGACAGCACTCGCCAGGGCGGATGCGTCTCATAAGACCGTTAGTTTGCTGAGGGCATGGAGAACTTCTGCCTCACCAGAAGCACTGCAGAGCCCACGTCCTCTCCAACGTGGTCAGTGAAGGAGCCGTCCCTGTAATTGCCGAGACCGAAGGGCAATGTCCTCCGTGGGACCCAGGAACCCGTGGCTTTCTCTCCCAATCCATAGGGTTAGCGAAGCTATTGCTGTTGTTGAGGACTGAAGACAGCGCTGCGGGAGCAAGGTCCACCCCAGCTCTCATCGCGGTGTGACCACATCCGCTCCCAGCGAGAAGAGGGTCAGAGCTGAGTGTCCGTGGGCCATCCTCTCCTCGGCGTGCCAGTGTGACGGCACGTTTCTACATCACGCGTAGGTCGGACTGTTGCCAAAGCAGCTCTCAGGGGGGCAGGATGCTCCTCACGAGTGGAACAAGCTGTAGCTTAACCCTGTACCTACAGCACAGCGTGCCTGTCTTCATTTCTGCCACCAGATGGGCATCAGGTGGACTGCGGCTCTCTGCCAGCTCATGGAGTGGCCCCAGGATAGGGCCCGTTTCGGATACCCACGGCCAGGGCAGCACAGCAGCGCGTGTCCTACCGCCCCGGTGCTCGCTGTGCGCTGGCCGCTGCCCGTCCCCGTGCTGTTCCCCGGCACTTCAGTGAGGACCGGGGGTTTGACTGCAGGATGCAGAACCAGCTGGAGAGACTGATGGAGATGCAGGAAGGAAACAGCAAAAAAAAAACATCCCCACCTCTTCAAAACTGAAAAAAACCCAAAACCTCCTTAAAAACTCTGAAGCTTATTTTTATCCTTGAAGGAGCAGCTTCAAAACCCCAAACTCTGTAACCGGCTCGGTGCCAGGGGAGGCACGGGGCGAGCGGACGCCGGTGACCTGTGCCCAGCATCACCCCACGCCGTGTCCCCCTGCTCCGGCTGAGCAGAGCTAGGGCAACCCTGGGGCTATTTATAACACGTTAGAAATTAACCCGGTTTTGATATCATTACGTCTTTTGCAGAGTTCTGTTCTTACAGGGAAATATTTGAGGAATCCTGAAGGAAGCGGGGAAGCAGAGGGAGCTGTATTTGGGGTGTAAAGGCTGGGAAGGGGCTGGCTGGCTCTGCGCCCGGGGCAGGGACCGCGCGGGCGCTGGGCTGGAAGCAGCCGCCGGTCGGGAACTGCCTCCCCTTGCAGAACGACGGCATTTTTTTCCCCATCAGTAATCTCGCTGCCACCCCAGGGCGGGAACAGCCTGTCCGTATGGGAGGCAGGAGAGCAAATATGGTAAAATATTCGGGCAGCTTCCCTAGGGAGAAATCCTGAGTCATTCTTCTAAACTGCACCGGGGTCTTTGAGTTACACTGGGTCTTAACCCCTGGCTGCGTTGGGGGGTTTAAGGTTGTGCCTCAAAGACTTGCCCACGGGAGACCCGGTGCACAGCAGCGTGCCGGAAGGTCGAGGCACGTCCACTGGAGCTGATGGAGTACCGGGGCCACATCTTTTTGCGCAGCTTGCCAGCCAAACCTGCCGAGGAGTCTTAGCATCCACCGCATCCACCTCCTCCCGACTCAGGGGGAGCTTCTGCCTCCCGTGCAGATGCCCGAGCGAAGAGAGAAATGCCCCGACACCCTTCTCCCTGACCGCGTGCACGTGGACTTCGCGCTGTAGCTGACTCTGATCCAACTGAAAGGCAAACACACCGGGAAAGGGAACGGGCTGCTCTGACCTGCAGATACGTCTTGTTTCTCCGTTCTCTAGATTTTTCCCCGGACATTACTGAAACGTGTCCCTCACCACCGGGAGGGTTCATCCCTTGCTCATGGTTAGACCGGACTCACCACACTGTTCAGCCCGCTCAGGTGGAGAAGGATGGTGGGGAAAAAAAAAAAATTCATCCAAACCCCAACGCTTTCCTGCTGGTCTGAGCAGGGAAGGAAGAAAAAACAGCAATGTCCACAGCCCTTCTCAGCCATCAGTGCTAACTCCTTGGCCCATAATTGCCTCCGTGCACAGTCAGCAGCCGCTTGCTGCAGCCACCGCCGCAAGCCGTGCAGTGCGGCAAAGCCCAGCAGAGCCCGTGGGATGATCCCCTCTCCCACTGCACCCCCTTCATCCTTTGGGGCTGGAAAAGAACCGGGCACCTGGCCTCCCTATCCTCGCCACTTTTAGTTTTGTTTGCGTTGGGCAAAAACTAAAAAATTAGGAAAAATTAGGAAAAAACTAAAGGCAGGCAGGGAAAAGTCGCTTTTCATCTTCTGTGTTTCCCGGAGCATGTTTTGCTAAGGGTCGGGGTTAGGTCCAGCGGGGCACGTGGCACCTCCCTCTCTCCAGCCGCTCCATCCCAGCCTTCGTTAATGCCCCACTCGTTATCAGCCCCCAGCTCCTGTTTTCTTTCCCGGATGTATCTTGGCACTTTCAGTACAAACTGAACTTCGTTTTCCTTTTATCAGGACCAGCTACTCTGTACAGGGCTCCGCCGGCGTTAATGAGAAACTAACGCTCTGTCCTCTGCCGGGTGGAATAAGTGACCTTTCGATTGCCGTCTCGCAGAGCGTGGGTCGCAGCCGCGGAGGTCTCAAAGCTGAGGAAAATGCTGATCAAGCCGGGAGACGGTTTGGGTTTGCTATCAAACCCGGGAGAGCCCTCTGGCTCCACCTGCCAAGAAAGGGCTGAGTTCAACCTTGATTTTAAGAGAATACGGGCAGGACTCTGCCGGACGGCCTCGCCGTGCCGAGGGCTGTGAATCTGGTCATGGAGGCAATTTGTGGCTCTAAATTAGCAATTTATTTTTTTTTCCTGCCTGGGACCTCTGGCTTCAGGAAACAACTCTGTTAGAGATGTGATGAGCGTAAAGACGGTCCTCTGCAGAGGCTCACTTGGACAAGACCCTGTTGTTCTCCTGGGTGCTCCGGACACCTCACTGAGAAGTCAAGACCCAAGTCATTCACTGTCGCATCACGTCCCCTCCCCAGGTCTGGCCTGGAGCCTGCAGTCCCTCCATGAAGCACTTCATCTGTGACATAGGCCAGCTCTTGTGTTGCCAAAGATGTGGTTTAGCTCCAGCCGTGCCCTGACACCTTTTCTGGTCCGGATGGGGCGAGGAGAAGGCAACAGAGTCCCTGGCGTTCCCAGTTGGGGCTGCTTTCCCAGGGCTTTGCAGAGGGAAGAAGGCAGCACAGTCATTGCTCCCTGCCTCAGTTTCCCCTCGGGTAGCACCCAGAGTCCTTATCCACCCTGCGCCCCCGCAACTCTGCTCCCCAGCACCCTCCCCGCTCCCCGACAGCCTCAGGGCTGGGTGCAGTAAGGGTTTCCATCCCGTGGCTCATCCTCATCACCCCGTAACTGCCTCTTTTCCAGGAGACACAAGCTTTACAGGGAGGAGCTCAACCTGACCTCCCCGGCGGCGCCGCTGCCGCTGCGGCCGGAGGCCAGCTGGCTCCAGTTCCACCTGGGCATCACCCGGGACGGGCTCTACCCACGCTCCAGCCCCACCGTCAACAGGCTCCTCCGGGACATGCAGGACTTCACCACTATCAGTGCGGGTAAGCAGGGATGCCGCAGGGATGGGGACGGAGCCATCGGGAGCCGCATGGGGCTGGGGGGCTCCAGCACCACCCCCCCCGGGTCACTTTTGCAAACAAGGCAGGGGCTGGTTCTTGCCAGAGGAAGCTCCGAGCTCTCTGCCGGCTTCCCGGCAGGTTTTGTGCTGTGTAGTTGCTGTGCCCTTACCTTGAGATGGGAGGAAGGACCAAGCTACGTCCTTAAAGAAGGACATTGAGGTGTTGGAGCGTGTCCAGAGAAGGGCAACGGAGCTGGTGAGGGGTCTGGAGGACAAGTCTTATGAGGAACGACTGAGGGAACTGGGGGTGTTCAGCCTGGAGAAGAGGAGGCTGAGGGGAGACCTTATTGCTTTCTACAGCTACCTGAACGGAGCGGATAGAGAGGTGGGGGCTGAGCTCTTCTCCCTGGTGACGAGTGATAGGACGAGAGGAAATGGGTTCAAGTTATGCCAGGGGAGGTTTAGATTGGATATTAGGAATTTTTTTTTCACTGAAAGGGTTATCAAACATTGGAAGAGGCTGCCCAGGGAGGGGGTGGATTCGCCATCCCTGGAGGTGGTTAAAAAAAGGGTAGAGGTGGTTCCTGGGGACATGGTTTAGAGGTGGTTTTGTCAGGTTAGGGTAATGGTTGGACTTGGTGATCTTAAAGGTCCCTTCCGACCTCAGCGATTCTATGGTTCTATGCAGCACGCTTTGGTGCCAGCCATGCCAGGGACCCATTGCACGGCCGTTTAATCCCAACAAGCCGCCCCAGCCCCCCCGCGGGGACTGCCCCCCTCGCTGTGCACCGATGGCACCGGGGCTGCCAGGCTGGGGCAGCCCAGGCAGTTGTCCCCTGCGTGCCCCGGGCTGGGCGGGGGGGGTCAGCAGCAAAATACCGAGCCCGACGGGGTCTCACCGCTCCTCCTGCCCTTGCAGACTACAGCCAGGACGAGAAAGCGCTGCTGGGGGCCTGCGACTGCAGCCAGAGTGAGTGCGATGCTTCGGGTCCCCGCTCTCCCCTCGCACCCCATGGCTTCAGCTGACCCCCATCCCCTCCATCCTAACCTCAGCAAGGGAAACACAAAGCCAGGCAATGCCAAGCCCTTCTCCCTCCAATTAATCCTCGCCAACGCAGCAGATGCTGGGATGTGGATGCCAGGACACCAGTACGCCACTGGTTTCTACTGGGGGGAGGAAAAAGTCCCCAAGAGGACGTAACAAATGGCCGTTGGGAGAAGCACTGGAGGGAAATCTCCAGCACAGGGGAGAGGGAGGAAAAACAACCACAGAAGCAGAGGGGAGGAGGAGAGGAGCTGGAAGGAGCGATGGGGTGTGCTCACCGGGGCGGAAAGCCGAATCACATCCGAGCGCGTAACCGGTGCTTCACCGCGCGCCGGGGAGGCTTTCCAGGGGGCTGGCGGCTAACGGCTCCTTTCCTCCCCTAGTCGTGAAGCCCAGCGGCGTGCACCTGAAGCTGGTCCTCAGGTTCCAGGATTTTGGGAAAGCCATGTTCAAGCCCATGAGGTAAGACGCAGCGGTAGAGCCCCTCCGCCCCGGGTAACCACGAACCAAGGAGCACCGCAGCGAGCGGTGCGAGCATCCTTGGCAAGGACAGCCGTGCCACAGCCGCACCTTTCCTCTCCTGCGCTCAGCTACCTCGACAGCTGGAAAGGTTTTGTTATTATTGGCTGCTCGTGCTGTCCCAGAGCCGCACGTGGATAAACACCGATGTTCCCACACTGCTTATTGACGTTGGAAATTTCTCGGTTCATAGATGCCGGACAGCGAAGGACCTTGGGACACTTGTTCTCCCGAGAGCTTTGCCGATCAGGACTGCTTATTTCTTCCTCTTCCCCAGCTGACTTTGTGTTTTTACTTCATTTCTCCTTGGATTCCCCAGAGTATTTCCAAGAAATAGCCATCAGTCCCGGTCACCTCCAACTGGAGTTTTAAATTGCTGCTGCACTTATTTGTAGCCCCGTGGGACTCTTCACATTTATTCCCCCTCACTTTACTTGCTGTGCACAGGCAGGGCAGCTGGCAGCACACCAACTGTGATGGTTTGCTCATCCAGAAAGCGGCCAGATCCTCTCCCGCTGGTTTCTCTCCACCTCTGCCCAGGGTCGGGCAGGTCCAGGAGGAGAAGGAAAGTGTCCGTGCGCTCAGCTGAGCCAGGAGGGCTCCGCAATGCCTGGGGGCTTTCCTGCGACACACAGCTGCTTGGGAGGCTGAGCAGGCAAATTCACACGCTACACGTATCGTGGCACTGCGTGACAGCCAGAAAATGAAATGAAATGAGCTGCTGCTGGTGTTACTGTCTCCAGGATATGAGAGCATCAAATCTGAGCTCTTCTCTGCCTCCCACGGGGATGTGACAAGTGCAGCATGGCCTCTAGCATCCCCCGATGCTGTACCCACTGTCCTAACCAAGTAGGTCTAATAAAATCTGGCACAAAAGGTTTTAAAGCCCTGAGTGAGTCCTCCTGCCTCCCTCATCCGCCCGGCCCCAAGACAGGGCACAAGCGCTGCTCCCTGGCACGGTGCGCTGGTCCCAGCCCAGCACCAGGCACTTTGGCTCCTGGGATGGCCACCAGCTCTGCCCGGCGGCCCCGGCACCAGCGTGGCCACACGACGGCTGTCCCCGAGCACACCGGCTGTCCCTGGGTGCACTGTCCTTGTGCCACCACTTTGTGTCCCTCCTGCCTGCCCTGCCGTGCCTGGTTAGATTAACCCCCTCGCTCTCCCCCAGGCAGAAACGTGAGGAAGAGACTCCCGAGGACTTTTTCTACTTCGTTGACTTCCAGCGGCATAACGCAGAGATCGCTGCCTTCCACCTGGACAGGTAGGGACCTGCCTCCTCCAGCTGCCAGCGCCCGGTCCTCTGCCCAGGGAGAGCTTGGGCACGAGAAAAGCTGAGCTGAGCCCTGCAGAGCTGCTTGGCTTCAGAGAAGCGATTGCTGTGCAGCATCCCTCGGGGAGCTGCGGCATTACCTGGGGACAGCGCGGCTCTGGCTCTCATCTGAAGCCCAGGAGTCAGCTTCACCTCGGCCGCTGCACAAGAACAGGCTGGCAGATGAAGCCCGAGTTGCGAAGGGGTCGGGTATTTGTCACACGGCCACACGCACGCGGTCCCCCCGGTGCATCGAAGTGCAAAGATGAGCCCTGGGTGCAGCCTGGATCCAGTGAGGGAGTCGCACACTCAATCAGCAATCAAGGCGTGTTTCGGATTGAGATAAACTGCAGCGATGCAGTTTCAAGCTCTCAGCTAATGAGCAATTAACCTGGCAGCTCTTCCCAGCAGGCTTTGTATTTCCTAAAAAACAAAAATACACTTATTAGAAGAGGAGGGCAGCAGTCTTCTTCCCCTCGATGGGCTGAGTGTTGAACATCAAGGGGAGGTGGTCCCCGATGATGAAGGTGGATGAGGGTCTCCAGTTCCCAAGCCCACCCTATATGATAAGTGGGACTAGACTGTAAGTCCTGGAGCTCAAACTCTGAGCGAGGGAGTGAAGAGAGCCAAATTCCCTTTCCAGCTCTACCCCTACATCACCCCAGTGACTCTGACTCACCTACCATCAGCTTGCCTTTCTGCATCCCAGCTCCACCGCCAGAAAAATGAGGCCAAACCGCTTTTCTCAAGTGCTTTGTGGTTTTTAGAGCTGAAAGATGCTAGATGAAAGCAAATGTTGGTTGGTTGGTTTTTTTTCTTTAAACATTGCTCAATACGTAACAGGCTAAATCCTGTTTTGTGCCTGATTCTCAGAAGCGGAGGGCATTACCCAAGGAGCAAAGCAGAGCATTAGCTGGTTCACCCCGTGTTACTGACTCAGCAATCAGCAGCAGCTTTTCCACTACAGGAATCCCTTTCTGCCCCAGGCCCTGATTTTTTTTAAGAATATTCGAGATGAATCAGCTGGGCATGAGTGCCTCTGAGCGGGGGTGATCCCTCCTCGCCTCCCGCGGTCTCAGCCACATTGTACCGGGTTCAGCGCATCTTTGCTCCGTGTCAAACCCAACATCGTAGAAGGGCCTGAAGAACTGTTCTGCCTCCCCGAGGACCCAGCTTGCGTGCGAGGGGATGGGAGAAAGCGGTTAGGGAAAAAGACATGAATCCTGGAGAACATCCAGATTGTTCCAGGCAGCAGCTACCAAAATACCAAAATCACATTTTGGTCCAGAGGGTAAAATAATCCTGGCTATTTGCTAGAAAGAAGCTGGGAGAAAAAAAATACCCTAAACGTAGGTGCAGTCATCAGAAGCTCCTTGGTTTATCAATGAAAGGGGCGAAGGCAGCATCTGCCGTCCCACATTGCCATCTGGGCAGTAATGTCCCTTCGCACCACAGACTCTGAGCCGCTGTCCCTTCTGTGCAGGATCCTGGATTTCCGGAGGGTGCCACCCACAGTCGGAAGGTTGATCAATGTCACCAAGGAGATCCTGGAGGTCACCAAGAATGAGATCCTGCAGAGCGTCTTCTTCGTCTCACCAGGTAGGCGAGCGCTTGGCTGCTGTGAGCTGGGATTAGACATGCTGGTCCATGGTGGGTGGAAGGGCAGGGTCTGCATGGAAAAGCGACCAGCAGGACTTGTGCTGTTGAGCAGAAATCAAATTCTTGGGTGAAACATGTACAAAGACGTGGTTACAGGAGAGGTGACCCTCAGCCTCCCACTGGAATCATCTGCCAGATCTACTCGCCTGCCCTATTTTCCCCACGCTTTCCCCTAGTATGGGACCAGGTCTGCCCATCACCAAAATCCAGGCATTGGCCACGATTTGGCAGTTTCACATCCCTGATGTGGGTACACGTATCCCAATATATGCAGTCACCATCACGCAGTGGGGAAGAGGTCAGTCCAGGCTACCTTGCAGTCTCCTGTGGATCGTAGCTCCTTTCCCCAGTTCTCCTCTCTCTTCTCCTCCCAGCCAGCAACGTTTGCTTCTTTGCCAAGTGCCCCTACATGTGCAAGACAGAGTACGCGGTGTGTGGGAACCCTCACCTCCTGGAAGGATCTCTCTCCGCCTTCCTGCCATCCCTCAACCTGGCGCCGCGACTCTCCATCCCAAACCCATGGATCCGGTCCTACTCGTTTGATGGAAAAGAGGAGTAAGTGGGTAAATGATGCTGCTTCCCATATCTGCATTGCAGGGAGCGCGTGGGAAGGAGAATGAGCGGGGTAAAGGTACACAGACATACGTACAGGAATTGTATGTCCAGGCAGAAGAAGGCCAAGGTTCAGAGATTGTCCATAATTAGTCTAATAACTCTTAATGCCTGGGCATTGACTGGGTTTCACTTCCAGTCTCCTGAATGCACAAAGAAGGAGATTTAGGGAGATTTAAATTGTCCTCCTCTCCACCCCCACAAGGGAGACTGGCTTCGGGGTGCTGTTGGCACACAGGAGCAGCAACCACTGACTCTGTCTCCCCCTTCTCCTCCATCTCCTGCAGGTGGGAAGTCAATCCACTCTACTGCAACACGGTGAGGGAGATCTACCCCTACAGCAACGGCAACCGGCTGCTCAACATCATTGACATGGCCATATTTGACTTCCTAATAGGTACGACGAAGGGGGAAAATAACGTTCCTTCTTTCTGTGTGGTCCTTCAGCATCAGTCTGTCTGCCCTCCCACGCCACGGTGTTTCTCAAGGCCATCCCTTCCGCTCCAGAGACAGCACAACCCCTCCTGATGCGCAGGCAAGGGGGAGCCCCCAAGCCCACCCCAGCCCGCTCCCCAGGGGGGTTCCAGCAAGATGAAAGCAGCAGCTCTGAGCATCTCAGACACTTCCAGCAAGGCAACAAACATTTCATGCAGATCTGAAAGAAAACGTAAAATAGTTTAGAAAATTACTTGGTCACACGTAAGGGCAACTGTTCCTCTGTCTTCCTTTTACCAGGGAACATGGACCGTCACCACTATGAAATGTTCACCAAGTTTGGGGATGACGGCTTCCTCTTACATCTGGACAACGCCAGAGGGTGAGGCTGGGGGAGGACATGGGGGAGGGGGGAAGGTGGTGGGCAGGCACTAAAGCTCTGCGCTCTCTGCTCACCCCCCCAGGTTCGGGCGGCATTCCCATGACGAAACCTCCATCCTGGCCCCGCTCTCCCAGTGTTGCATGTAAGTGCCGGTTTCACCCTCCTTCCCAGAGGTGTTGGTGTTCGCACCATCATGGGCTGGTTCCATCCAGCAGCGCAGGGAAGAGCCCTGCTAATCCCAGCCACGGCCGCAGGCCAGACCCCGCAGCACGGGAATCACAAGTTGTCCCTGAAACAGGGGTTAAGCTTTTGTATCAGAGAGCGTCAAGCTCTGTTGTGCTGCAGCCTGCTACGGTGTCACGCAACAGTCCCTCCTGGATACTTTCCTGTTGAAGGTAGAAGGCCTTGCAAGTGTCAAAGCTTTCACCGATAAACCAGAGACAGGTCCATTGGATGAAATCCTTCCAGAAGTGTCTCCAAGCATTTCCCAGCCCATCGACATGAGGCGCTATCACAGCCCCAATCAGCTGACGTGAAGCTCAGAAATCCCCATCCAAAAGCCTGGTAAAACTTTAATACAGCTCATCGGGTTTCTTCTTCCCATGGCATTAAGCAGAAGCTCATAAAAACGTTACTATTTGAATCCTGTCTTCTCCCTTTATTAATTCCCATAAATCATCAACTGAAAGTTAAACTTAAGAGACAGAAAAAGCTGCTCTTCCCTGTGGTTTCTCTTTCGGAGATGCCTAACCTATTTCCTCACTGGACCTGCCCCCTCTCAGCCCCAGGGTGTTAACTGCACTCTCTCCCCATACACTGGTATTACTGGATCTAATTTTAAGAACTGTTATTTGCACCCAGAGAGTCTTCATTTATAATTGCAGGCTCACAGTGAATCCTTCTCACTAACTCCTATTTTGTGTGGTTTAAATTAACTCTACCTCTTAATTTGACCTGTATACACTAAGATCCACAGGTCAGATCCTTCCTATTCTTCCAGATCCACCTCCCAGAAGCTCCTCTTAATTTAGTTCTTCTTGTAAAAGACAGTGGTAAGACGACCTGCAAGTCACACCTTGCAATAAGCCAACTAGGGCTGAGAACAGCGTTAAAGCAACTCATCCTGCCCGAGGGCGACACACAAAACCTCATTTCCCACAACAGCCAATCCATTTGGAGTGCAGGAGCATCCAAAAACACTTGGAAAGGAAATAAAAAGGGGGTTTTGAGTAAGCACAGAGGCCATGGACTTCATTCAGCCTGCCCTGACCAACGAGCTGGACTCAGCCCAGCACGTCACCTCCTTGTTCCCCGTGAAGCCAAGCCGTGGACACCTAAGAAGGAATGAAGTCCTCCAGACAAGAGGGACCACTGGAACCACGGGCCGCTCACTTCCCCGCTGAACACGTCCATCTCGTTCCTAGCTCAGCTCTTCTCCAAATTTGGCTTCCAGCAGATTTAAGCCTTCTGGTATTCTTAGCTACCTTTCACAGCTCCCACACCAGTCCTTGTCCCACACGTTGGAGTCTGCTGCTCTCCTCTCCCACCGCTGCTCTGACTACAGCAAACGGCACAAACACAGCCATGCGCTAAGAGATGCTCCTTTTCCTGAAAGAGTCAAAACCCTCAACAAGGCACAGACAGGCCTGAAGACAGCCCCCAGTTAACCCGATTCGCACGTTTTCTTGGCTGTTGAAGTCCCTAGAAGGCTCTGGGTGAAATCCTCAACGATTCAGTACGACAGCGGGGTCACAGCTGCCCTGGGGGAGAGGAGCGGGGCCGGCGGCAGGATCTCCATCTCACGCCTCTTTGTGTTCTGCCTGTTTCTGATGTAACTGTTAGAGCATGAAAGAAGCCATTCCCCACGGGGTCGGACCACCCCGTCCTCCACCTCCAAGCCCCGCCGCTGGTCGGAGCAGAGCAAACACAGCTGGTGTTTACCCACAGAGTCACCCCTCGCCTGCAAGGAGACTGCACGCACGCTCCTCTGCTGCAATTCGCTCCTGCCCTGGACAAGACTTTCTCTGGCAGCAGCAGCAGCACCTCACAGCAGTGCTCCGGCAGTGATTTAAAGGCTCATTGTCAGCCATAGCACTTGATCAGTTGATTATATATATATATTTTTTTATTTATTTTTTTTTTAGTAATATTAATGCAAGCCTGGCAGCGGGCAGCCAGGATAACACCCACAGTGGCAACCCGGCGCAGGAGGCGGTGGGTGGCAGGACCTTTCCCGCTGCCCTGTGCGATGCGACTGGCACCGCCGAGCGGAGAGATGCACCTCGCTTGGCTGCTCCAGGGCGGTACCGGCCCCCGGTGCGGTTCAGGGACTGCTCGGCCACGCACGGCAGCAGCAATAAGCCCTTCACCTGACATCCGAGCGGCGCGTGTCCTCCCGGAGGTGCGGAGAGCCAGAGCGCCGTTGCGAGTTGATGCCCTGGGTAGACAACAGGCACACAAAGGCAAATTCTGGAGCTGGCTGAAATGTTTCTGACTACACTTTTTTTCCATCTGAAAAGTCTGGCTTGGCTAAATAGGAATGGCTGCGTGAACACGAACTACTTCATTTACAAAATTTGAAGGGCAGTAATTAAAACCAGTGATTAATTTCAGTATTAGAGATGCTGAAGTCAAAACACTTTTTGCTGAGGATTAAACAAATGGTTTCAGAATACTGAGTTGCGTTCCCAGAAGTGTTCCAAGATTATAGCTGTTCATCCCACTTTCTGTCAAAGGGAAATAATATTTAAATCTCGGTACCTCTTAAGGTGAAAAGTCACAGTTAAATCAGTTCCATGAAATATTCCCTCTTTTTGCTTAGAGTTTTGACAGATTTTTATTTTTTTTTCCTCATCCATGCCTCTTCATTTTACCTCCCCCTTTACCCCCACCCTATAAATATAATCTTTGGAACACGGCACCACCCTGCAGCAATCTGGGGAACTGGGTCAGCTCTGACTCAGAAGAAAAACACTCATTACTGAGAAGGTCTATCATGTTTTTCTCTCTGATGACAAAAATATAAATACAAAATATACCAATATACCAATACAAAAGTATAAATACTCTGTAGTGTGGAAAAACAAAGGAAGAAGCAGAGGTTTCTGTAAAAAACATATTAATTTCCTTCAGAAAAAGAAAGCTTTTGTTCCAAATTTCTTTGTCAAATACCTTCACCCATCTTCGCTCTCCCTCCTTCCCCCACCACCAGGGGCTCAGGCAGCCGGTTCTTGCCAGGATGCCACAAGAAGTTTGCATTAAAGTGTCCGATTTCTTTTTTTTTTTTTTTTTCCTCCCCAGAATAAAGAAGACGACATTATTGCGCCTCCAGCTCTTGGCTGAGCCCGACTATCGGCTCAGCGACGTGATGAGGGAATCCCTCCTGCAGGACCGCCTGGCACCTGTCCTCACCGAGCCCCATCTCCTGGCTTTAGACAGACGGTTACAGCTTATCCTGAAAGCTGTGAGGAAATGCATAGACATGTATGGAGAAGCCAAGGTGGTGGCCAACGACACCACGCAGCCCGAGGCTCCTGCGTCGGACAGAGTGAAGCTGACCACTTAAACAGTCCTTAACTCACGCTCAGAGGCAGGGAAAACCCCTGCAAGCCAAGTGGCAAGTTTTAATAGCTGGTAAATGCCATCTACAAACACTCACGGAGCCTGAGAGGGGAAACTCTTCAGAAGATCTTCAAGAATCACACTGGGCATCTATGCTGGGTCCTCAGCCAAAGCTTCTGGGCTTGGCCAGTGCGTTGGTAAGTTGTGGTCTGATTACAGCAGACCTTTGCACCCCAAATATCAGCTCTCTAGGGGAAAAGCAGTGAGCTCCTGTTCTGTAGTTGGCCATGCCCTTGGGAGGGCGGGGGAACACCCGGCCACTGGTTTGCTCACCCTGCACGGGGATCTCAGTCTTGCCAGTGAAGGACACAAACTAGATCCAAGGATGAGGCTTGAATAAAGAGATGCCAAGACCCTTTTCCTCTTATTAAGTCTCTGTTCTGTAATCAAGACTGGGTATTTGAGGAAAGAGCCAACTTACTTCCCGAAGGCAGTACCTGCCACTGAGACAAGATAGCGCGTTGACTCAGCACAGTCAGACTGAAGAGCATCTGCACCCTGTTCACCATCAGGCTGGTCCATCACAGCAGAGTGTGATGAGCCCACTCCACAACGATCTGTGCACATCGCTCAAAAGCACACCGCCTCACAGGGCGGTAAAACCACTTCTTTTACCTGCCTCGTGAGCTGAAGAGCCCGTCTGGGCTGTAAGAGAAAGGCAGTTACATGTTGCCTTTGACCCAAAGGGAAAAAGAAAAAACCACCACCAAAATGCTCAGAGGCATACGACTGTATTTATAAATCAAGAAGCCATCCAATTCTGCTGAAGGCATTTTGCCAACGTAGGGAGGTCTCTCTCAGGTCCTCTTCTCATAGCTTGAAAGTCAGTGAAGTTGTCAGAATTCCCTGGAAGATAGAAATGGTCTCCCAGTCCCCCATCCCTGTGCATTTTGAGCAGATGCAATAGGAACCGGAGACCAAAAAAGCACGGAGAGGGAGTTATGGTAGATCCTTCAGTGTGTCGTTTTCCCCTTGCCTCCCAACGATGAAGCTCAAGAAACTTGATTACTGAAGCTCTCTTTAACAGCATTTTCCTTTAACTGTTGAAGAACAACTGCACTGAGCTTCTTGGCAGCCTAGGGAATGTAGTTAAGAACTTTGTTGATAATTTATCATCCTTAAGGGGGGAAAAAAAAAAAAAAAAAAAGAAAAAGAGAAAGCCCACAGCCAATCTACTAAAGCTCATTCTAAACTAACTTCTAAGTTAAACAAAAAACCACCTACAGCACTGCAGACTTTTCAGAGGAGAATCCTAAAACCACAGCACAAACGTGGTCAGGCAGCAGTTGTTAACAGGTTCTCAGCAAGCTGCTGCACCAACCACTGCCTCGTTTGCTCACGGGCTGGGATTTTGCCCAACCTAAAGGGAATTCAGTGGCACTGGCAGTAAGCGCCTGCATCACGCAAGGAAGGAACAAAGCTCATTTGGCCACAACTATCGTTTTTCACAGGGGACTGTACTGACGCTTAATTCAACTCCACAATAATTCTACAATACACTGTAAAACTACAGGAGAGACTGTAGTTGTCATTTGGAGTATGTCCCTACAGGTGCTTATTCTATTCATTTGTATGTTTGAGGAAGTTTGGGAGTGTTTCTGCTTAGCAAAGAGATTCCTCCAATATTCTGCAGCCACAAAGGTTAGCAAAACAACCCCACACAAACCCAACCAACCAAAAAAAAACAAAACCAACCCACACCACGCTCCTTTAGTCTCTCCCGACTTGTGATTCAGCCACGTCCTTCCATTCGCAGCTTTCATAAAAGCAAGGTTTTGGACGGTCTCAATCAAACAGAATTCTCGACATTGGTGGGCTTACAGACCTTTCTACTCTCATGGACAGAGAATACATGAAAATAAAAGGATTTAACTCACTCTCTGCATGCACGGTGCGGCGGTTATTTCCGTACAAGTCACTGGATTCCCAGAGTTGTATCTCCCTCTACCGGTGACTTTTTGTGCACTTACCACACGTGACAAGCCCAAAATTAATTTGGTCAATGTCACAGAGTGGTTACTGTTGGCTGTTTGAACAGGAAGAACATGGCAACAAAAGATAAGTTTAAAAGTAAAGTTACAAGCTTGGAAGTGGAAGCTTTAAAGTGTCATTTTAGGTAACAAAAAACGATTTTAGCCTTTTTTTTGGTCAAGGGGATGGGCGAAAGGGAGTGCAGGATGAAGGAAACAAACCCATGGGTATTTAAATAGCTGGTAAACTAACAGGGATTGCAGGGTTGCTTTCTTCTTATTTTTATTCTCCTTTACACGGCAGCTGTTTAATGTACCTTCAAAGCTGGGTGATAGCTTTCTCGGAGCTGGGTGCAAAATACACCCAGTGTGAGCCATTTCAGGTCATCACTCTTCAAATTTTTTCCTACTTCATCATAGTGTGAAAACCCCCCTCTTCTATTTCTCGCTGTCTGTCCACCAGAACTCATTCATGATTAATTATCACATCTTCAAAACTTTAAGGGATGGGAGCAGACAACTTACAGCAGCTTATCAGCGCCAATAATAGCAGCTGGGCTGGGAATTAACAACCTTAACAAGAGATCAAAGCAGCACGAGTTGCAGAGAGCCACTCGAGCAGGACACGGGTACCTTCTCCGTTCAGAAGAACGTGTGTCATGCGCACCCGGTGCCAGAACTGCAGAGAAGCTGCTGGGTCACAGACCCAGGTTGGCTCACGGAGACGAAGCTCTCCCGCAGGCTCCGGAGGGGAAGGTTCAGCCGTGCCGTAAGCTAGGACTTGAACTCAAGCCTCCAGAGTTAACACAAAGCTAATCCATTAAGCTTCTTAGTTTCTACCACCTCATTAATAATATATCCTCCAAAGCTAAAGGAAAACACAATATAGGGATAGGGAAAAAAAAAAAAAAGAAAAAAAAAAGAGAGACTGATTGCATTTAAGAATTTAAATCATTTTATTGCTTTACCTGCCATTAGGACGATCTATAACAAAAGGAATATAATATAATATATTAGCACATACAGTAAATCAGACTTATATAGTCAGGTAACAATACAAAAATGGTCCTCTGGTTGACTATAGCTTTCTAGGGCAATAGACTTCATAAATTCGCTAAAGGTGGACTAGCAAAAAATTACTTCTAAAGCCCTGAATGTTAGCTAAGGCAAAACTATGCCAATTGTGGTTTCAAACATATTTAAATTGCACACAAAGGTAAAGCTATAACTGTGATTAATATTTAACTCAGACTTAGCTGATTTATCTTAAAATCTTGTTGGTAAAACTACAAAAGGGAGTAAACAGCAAGCTAAAAAGATGCAGTAGTGAAACTTGATTAGAAAGCCTTATATAAAAAAATGTGCATTTTTTTGTGGAGCTCTAACTAGTTTACATAGTTTTTGGTGCTTTAAAGTAACACAAAGAACACATATGAAGAAAAAACCTGGATAGTCAAAACCTAAGAAAACAGTTTTACCAAAAAAAAAAAGTAGCATTTGCTTACTTCTTAAGGACTCTGGCAGAAATCCTCTACTCAACATCTTCTGAATAGAGAACTCAAACCACAAGCGCTTAAACCCCATTATCGGGATTTCAGGTTCAGAAATACCCCGAAACCTTTTGTAAAGGCTTGATACCCTCAGTATTATTTTGCATCAATTAGCAGACTCCTTCAGATTATCTACACGCCTGGGAGAAAGGGTGTTGAATTTGAATCCGTCTCACCTCAGAAGGGAAATAAAATGAGGGCTCCATCGTTAGAAGTAGTTGCACAACAAATGCAAAACTGCTTGCTGTCACTCCCAAATACAAACCTACGCTACTTTATATAAATTACAGTTTAAAGGAAACCTTAAAAATTGCCTACCATTATTGAACCGTGGAATTCAGTAAAAACTTTTGGGAAGTATTGGTGCGCACGGAATAATGGAACACAAAGCTGGTAAATACTGAAATACATTTAAGACTCCGCAACATATTGAACTTGGAAAAAAGAGCAAGTATGAAATATGCGTCATGTAAATTCCATAAGCAAGGAAAGAGAATGCACCTTTTGTATTTAAACTAGCTTTATAATTAAGCTTTTTAAAAATTATGAATTGACCCATTTAAAAACTTAAAATAACTGAGTGTTGCAGGAAAGTCAAAACATTCACTTTTTCTGCCTCACGTTCTCCACCAAGAATAATGGCATCTATATAGACCAGCAATCCCGCCACCTGCAACTGATGCTGGCCATAAATACTCAATGTTTATTTTCCCTGGTAAAAAAAGGGTCACCTGAACTCATGATCGTTTTTTTAAAAAGTCAACTGAGGAGTACAAAGCAAGCAAGAGTCACAGGGAAAAATAAAATGTTTGCTTCCAATTTCTACACCAATCTAAGTACTTGAACATTACTAACAGCCAGACAGCTGCACCATTCTTACACCAATCTATGTACTAGAGACCAAAGTTAGGCATTTCATGTAACATTTGGTTCTTGCCACTTTGAACAGAAAGTTTTAAATGGCATATCTATCGCTGACGAAAGAACAAGAAAAAAGTCAGTTGCGGCAAGTCAGCAAATTAAGTAACAATTGCAGTAGTTCACCAGAACTATTAACCTTGAAAGCTTTGATTTACACTTGACAAAAACGTAACTAAGCAATCTCAAACCAGCAGACACAGGAACAATTATACTGTTAAATTCCAACTGTGGCTTTCTTAGCAGCTGATGCCTCACGATTGAACCCAGGATTACAGTACCCAGAAAATTAAAAAAAAAAAAAAAAAAAGAAAACCCCAAGCCCTCCCCCAAGAAGCTCAATTACAAGGGCAGTTCTCATTTGAAAAGAAATACAGCAGATTATGACCACAGCCTTAAAATCTGTCCAACAATTTGAGAAAGACCTTTAAAAAAAAAAAATCCCCCCTTCCCCCTCTCTACTGTCACCTCCTTACTCTATGGCAACTAGCACGGTGCCAGGAGATCTCTCCCTCCCTGAAGCAAGGCTGCATTTGCCCGAGTTGGACACTGCTGCACAGAGAGAAGCCATAACAGCAAACATCTCCATAGAACTTTTTCTATTAATTTACTGGGACAGAGAGCACAG